TATATATATAATATGTTCATATATATTGCAATACAGCAGTGTAATAACTTCGTCAAGGAATATTTCATTTTCAGATGTAACTGACAATTTGTAATTGTCAGCAGTACAATTATCATCGGTCGGTGACTAGGACGAGTAGCGATAAGAGTAAGAGAAAAATTTAAGTACGTTCCGGTGATTACATAACGCGAGGCTACGCGACGGTTCGTCAGAATGAAAGGGACGAGCATGCGACGAGCAACGACCGGAACTCTCGAGGACAGTGGCATTGAACTTGACGGAGAAAGAGGAGAACGGAGCGACGAGCCGGAGGAAACAGACGTCGAAACGTGTTGCCGTGGAAACTCGTACTCGAGGAACTGCCTTCCGTGACTAATGACAGCCCGGATTTTAGCGGCATCGGTCCGCTGATACGTAGGACACGAGCGTGCCGACGATAATCATCATGATCCGACTGATAGCGTTGACTGGATACGCGGCAGTAAGATGCTACGTAAAATATATACCTGCGTGCAGTTTGAAACGCAATCGAACGTGAAACGTTTATTTCCGCTGGATCAGGTATCTTGAACATTGATGGAATACCATTGGATGGAATACCAAATGTTAATCACTCGCAGTTTGAACATTCGAGCCATATTCGATATTATATCGCATTAGTATAGAATACTAATACGCATGTCAACGTGAACGAACAAAGAGTAAATCGATAGTGTAGTAACAGTTTAACACATATTTGAGATATTTTAATATAGAATACATTTAATATAGTATACATTTTACTTGAAAAGAATCTGAGCTTTATTTCGACGACTTTCTTATCTAAGTATTTATTATACAATTGTCAAACGAAGACCTCCCTCGTCGCTTCTCACGGCTCGACCAAAGGGATCCTTCGTTTTTGTCGTATCGTTCGACCAAAGTGGCCTTTAACCTCTCACATGTGTATACCTCGCACGCAACATTGCAGCCGGAGTTGTAGTTAAGGCTTTATTCGTCGAACACGCGCGTCGGGTCACTTTAATTTTGTACTACTGACGAGCTGTACAATATCGCGAGATTGCCTGATCGAGTAACAAATGACGTTTCAACGAGGAACGTGGTTAATGGAGGATACATCGTCGATCGAGTGGCTGATCGTTATTATAGTCTACCTCGGTGAGAATGTCTCGATCCCTCGGAACAGTTCTTATGATTAAATATACTCTAACAACTTCGTCATTCATTTTGTTAGGCCAAGATATTTCATACGATAGAATTTTGTTTATCCACATTGCGTTCGCACATGATTCACGGAAGATTTGAATCATTTCCCACCTCGGTTTTTGCTTTTCGACTTATCGTATGCTACTCTATATTATTTTGTGCACGTTAATTTAAATTACATACCTAAATATACTTTACTGTTACAGATACACTGCATTTTATTTAAATATCACTGATATCCTATCAGATGTGTAGTTACTTATGTACAAATAATGGTGTCATTGTATAATCTGCGATGCGTGAAGTAACATATGACCATCGGATCTACATTATATATTGACAGAATTAACGTTGATAACTTTGAACTGTCATATGCAAGCAGCACACGTACCGGAGGTCCCTAAAATTTTAAGGTTGATAAATAATGTCAGATGACATTTATGGATAAGGAAATCGTGTTCATTGTGCTCCCAAAAATGTGTAGCATAATATGAGACTGCCGTATTCATATGATATATTGACAGAATATATGTCGAAAGTTATGAATGTTCATATCAAGTACGTAACATTCCAGGCTAGATAAATAATATTGCATGACAATTATGTACAAAAAAATCAAATATCAAAGTTAAATATACTTTACAGATACACTGCATATTTAAATATCACTGATATCCCCACAGAAGAATCATTTTGTTTGTTTAATGAATAAATCTCGATAAATTATCGTCGATCCAAAAAGCAAAAAAACAATCATCGTCTTTGATTCTCATCCACTGCTTGCGAACGTTAATGTTTGCCACAGCATGAGATTACATAAGCCAGCAAGTATTACGCAAGTGTATTGCGAACTGTAAATAATTTTGAATTTTTAAGCTATGAATGGCCGGCGTGTGGTGTAATTAAATTCAGGGGTTCTTGCCTTGTCGTCTGAAAGGTAGATAAAAACGGCCGGACCTGGGGAATTCGAATCCGCGTGGTGGGATCAGCGTCGTCGAGACGCCGTTTCCGAGTAGCTGCAAGTCGCAAGTTGTTATACCGTTAACACGAGTCAAGTTAGGAGTTTCATGAATGATGAACCAGACAGGGAGAATGGTTTCCGTACGTAGATGTTACTTCTCGTGGCATTTTGGTTTTTTCTTTGCTTGTTTGAAGAACAAACTGAGAAACTGATTGATAAATGCTTACGCTCTCTTGGAAATTGAACACTGACGAGTAACATCCATTTACAATGGCTGGAAATGATGTTTGCATGCATACTATTGTATATTCAACGAAACAACTTTTTATCTGATTCTATATTTCACTTTCGTAATTTTGTAGTTAAACAGAAGTATAATACAGTAAAACTAAACTGGTTGTTATAATAATGTTCATTTTTGTTCATTTAATCGGACATTGATTGAAATCTGATTGAAATAAACAGAATCGATATAAACGGTGTTCCATCGTAGTATTAAACGATACGAGACAAGTTATGAAGAAAAATCGTCTCCCCGGGAAACAGGCAGAGATTGAGAAAAATATCGTTCTTTGAAGGCAACGATTGTCAAAGTGACGCGTGCATGTTTCAGGTGTAACCATGACAGAAAGAAGCGCGTGCGTGCGCCTCGTAACACGCAAGTACACGAAGACACGTCTTTAGGTCCCGTACACTTCCCGCAGTAGCCTCCCGGCTTGACCAATTAAGGGTCTCTTCCGTCGAGACCTCTTAATGGTAGATGTGGTGCGTTCGCTCGAGCGTGCGCCACTGCGAAACCAGCCCTCGTAACAACGTAATTTCCCGTAGCCGTTCCACCTCGGATCGTCCGAGAACTTTGATATCCAACGTCCTCTCCTCGTTGCCTCTTCCCTGATAAGAGAAGTTTCTCGACAAACACCGGCTGTCATTCTTGTCAAGCTCGTTTATACCTTCGCGCATTTTTCATCGGAAAGTCATCCTGCTGCCGGTTATAATAACACGTTCACCGGCTAACAACATTCTGTGTTTGAGGATTTTTGTAATTTCTTGCGTACGGCAGATTGTTGTACGAAAGAATTATTAACATTTAAGCTAATTTTTTTTGTATTTCTTTATTCTCTATTCCTGTATTTCCGTCTTTCTACGCCTATATTTTTATATTTTTATATTTCTATATTTTCATATATTTTTGTATTTCTATTATATATTCCTATATTTCTATCTTTCTACATATTTCTGCGTAGAATTTTTATAATTTACATCCTTATATCTTCATTCAACACCATGTGATATTATGTGATTTTCAGCGAATGTGGATTCTTGACAAAATTTGAAAAACAAAGTTACTCCTAAGGTTGTCTGGTCATTGTAGTATTATACACTTTCATTTTCTACTAAAAACACGATGGAATTCCCTGCATCGAATACACAAAAGAATCGTTTCAATCTTGAAAGTTACTCGTCCATTCTTGGATGATCGCATCAATTCAGTTACCTGCTATCTTCGATCAAGGTTGCTAAAATCTTCGCGAGTCTTGAAATTCCTCGGAAACGTCATCGCGCGAATGATAGTGAGAAGCATACAACGCTATATCAGGGAAGGTCGAGATGATCGCGCAACCTCGCAGGGGAACGCGATGCAATGTAACCTCGAGAAGATGTGTGGAGGCGAGGCCAATGAATGCACGACGCTGAAGAACGGGAAGGAAGGTGAAGCGTGATCATGGTTCTGACCTCAAGAAACTCGAGAAAGAGAAGAAGAAAAAAACGGAAGAAGAAGGAAAAGAGAGGGGAAGCAAGAGGGTCCATAGGATAAC